TACAGAATTAGCAACCTCTTCACTAGGTCATTGTAGACTTATGTAGTCTCAGTGCATGTTATACGTAAGAAAACATTATGATAAACTAATATGAAAGAATTGTGAACCTGCTGACTCTGCAATATTGTCTTGTTCAGCAGTTCTTATAGTATACAAGATTTAAGCTTAAAAATACTGAAATTGGGCAACAAGCAGTTATAAAATTTGTTATAAATTAAGATTTTTGACAGGTAATATGGCCCTTTAATGGTTGATTGGAAATATAACCGGAGTTGCTAAGGCAAGAAATACTGCAAACAACCGTTCATATACAGCCATAATTATATTCTGTCACAAATATTTGTAACAAATTTATAATGCAAGCATCTTTTTTTAGAGAAATAAGTGAAATTTCTCCATAAATTGACAGCAGTCGTGTATTAAACTATATATACGTCAGGATTATACAACGAAAAGCGACGTTACAAACATGTAGTATTATAAAGTCTGTTTGATCAGACTTCACAGATCTACAGACTTAACTGACCTTTTCTGCCTTTGTAGGCATGCCAACATTGCTAATGACATTCAAGGAGCTAGAGAATCAAAATGAATATTCAGCAGCTGTCCATTGGTAATTTAAATAATTTAAAGATAAAAATACTAAAATTATCCATACATAAGTGAATTATGTTCAGACAACATTGATGTTTTATATACAGGCTGGTGTCAATATAAAAATGGCTTTAAACAGGTGGAATAATCCTGACATATTGACAATACCTATAAGAAATCAGTGATTTTTTTTTTCAGCATACAGGTGTGTTTTTAATTTGTTTTTTGTTCTTTTTTTGTGGGGAGGGGCTGGCAGTGTGTAGGGTTGGGAAGAGGAATGTGTAACATTGCCAGACAAATATCATTACTGATAATTGACACTTCATTTCTGATGAATATAAATAAAAACAATTTAATTTTGATCTTTAAGTATCAATATTTGCCGGTCCCCAACAATGCCTAAAATATTATCTAAGAAGCAATATTGTCATTTATCCATTTCTTAGTATTTGCCAGAAACAGTGTGGTTTTCAATAGGCTTAGTATAATGAACAGTCAATAACAAATGATTCATGGCAATTATATTCATCATGTACATGGCACTGTAATTGACGTTGTGAATATATTATGAGACTACAGCTACGATAATTATGGATAACACTAAATAAATTATGAATATCTTACCAGTATATTATGACATGATTTTGCTCCCATTTGTATGACAGATAATGTTGACGGCATGATTCAATATAATATACACTGTATTAGTTATACTCTCTGATTCTAAGTCAGTCCCAACATTGTAAAAGACATATTGCAACTTCCCTGGAGCATTACTAGTTGCGAATGACCTAATGCCTCCCTCTGTACATTATATTTCAGTCACAAGCAGGCCTCTCAGTTTAAATAATTGAATAAAAAATCTAAACCAAACACAATCAAGGTTTGAGCTTAGAGAAAAATGAACTATTGAGATAAAATCATACATAGTCATTAAGATTATTATTATAAAATACAGCAAAATCTACTCTGTATAAAATAGAGAAAAACAAAATCCTTAAAGAACACTCAAAACGACAAAATTGAAAATATTGCAGGCATCGGTTCACAGCGGTACTGGATAGTGTAAGATACCATGCATGCCATCTAAGCAGCGGCTTAAACAGAACCCAAAATTTAAACACGAAAATAAGTTAATTTAGTCTTAATTGTTTATAAAGATTCTCTTTTCTTACATATCAAATAGTTAGTATATGTTTATGGTAAAAGGCATTTATAAGTTTTGACTCAAGGTAGATAACTCTTCATTTTTTGACTAAAGGTAAACAACTCTTTTAAAGTCATTTTGATGCCAGATATAAATCTATTATTTCTTGAAGTATATACCTTCTATCCTCGTCTTATATTGTCCTATAGCCACAAAATGTCTTGTAATAAATGATATTATGTTTTCATTTAACAGAAAATTATATTAAACACATAAAAGTATGAATGGTTGAGGCAAGTTCAGGAATTCCAAAAGATAAGTGTAAAGTGTTTCCTCATTTCCTCATGCAAAACAAATCTTGTGTTTGACATTTAAAAAATTTTACCAAATTTTAAGTCTTTATTTGGTAAAGTTTACAGTCGCTTACAATATAAGCCATTTATCATTTATCATGTACATGTATGTTGTACATGTACATGTTTAATGACGGTCCATCCACCTGTTAGGGCACACAAGTAGCTTTCCCTATCAAGCACGGACACCAAACATGTCACCAGTTATGCCCTTAAAGATCCTGTGTGTAACTTGTAAGTAAGATTGTTACCACAATTATGCTTCTAAAACAATTTTCAAACATCGAAGAATATGTAAAATATGTACTGCAAATATTTGTCCACACTATATGTAATCATTGAAATATATGCATTTATTTCTTATTGAAAAATTTGTCTTAGACTTTATAGAAAATAAATTTCTAATTACCTCCCTTCATTAACATGAAATGTAAATTCGGTAGTATCTTTAGAAATAATGCTTTTTGGAACTTACAATATTGAGAAATCTTCATTAATTTTGACCATTATTTTTATGATATAAAACCATAAAAAAAATGAGTTATAGGATCTGTAAAAGTTTAATTTTGAAGCAGTCAGTGTGGTAATATTTACCATCATGCAGTTTCTATAGCATTTAGCCAAAGAGATGAATTTTGAGCTGAAATGTAGGTCATTGTACAACGGCCAATAAGACTTACAACAAACAGTAACCATCGACAATAATGAAAGAGGAATCCCATATCATTTAGGGTTCTTGGTGCCAAGCAAATGGTCTACCTTTCAAGCTGTCACTCATACCTTGTGCTCATGTAGCCTATTACAACTTCCTTGTCATCCCTGCCTACACTGAAGGACCCCTTAGTTTCACTCAGGACATTGGCAGCTGAATTGCAGATTGCGAGAGCAGCTTAAATTCCAACCCAATTATAAGTGATTGTTTGATCTCTAGGGTACAAAATAAAGTTTGAACTGTAATCAGTCAGTTGGTGTCCTTGGTAAAACAAATTTCCACCAAGCTCTGAATCTTCTGTTGATGCACTCTCAACACTGTGCTTGCATCAAGGGGATTAAAGAGAATAAAATAAATGTTAAAATTTTGCTGTATCTCATTCATAAATAACATTGAACAGAAAGAGCATAAGTATGTATAGTAATGTCATTAAATTAATTTTGATTTACTAAATAGTTGTAAAGTCAAAGTGGTTATTATAATAAAAGGGTTACTTTAAGAGAATCTATTTTCTTGGATTTTAATTAACTTAATTGTGAACAAGTACCTTCTCTGTTAAAAAGTCATTGTTTCTGTTTTCTATCCCAGCTCATTTACATGAATGACTATTTGTGTATATACATGTAAATTGTACATATAAATTCGTAAATCTGAAACTGTTGGAAAATTCCAAGTATCCTATATCAGTTGGAATCTCTTTTAAGTGCCTTGAACTTACATAGATTTAGTGTAAAGTAATGTATGTTCATGCATTGTACTTGAATATGTATTGTGTTTTAATTATTTATGCATTGTTTTTATAAAGTAATATATTATTATATTTTGTGTTTTCATGTATATGTATTTTGAAAATTTCACTGTATAACCATGATGTAAATTATGTATATTTTATGTATATTTGAGCCGTGTCACGACAAAACCAACATAATGGGTTTGCGACCAGCATGGATCCAGACCAGCCTGCGCATCCACGCAGTCTGATCAGGATCCATGCTGTTCGCTTACCAACTCTTTTACAAGTAGAGAAACTCAGATAGCGAACAGCATGGATCCTGATCAGACTGCGCGGATGCGCAGGCTGGTCTGGATCCATGCTGGTCGCAAACCCATTATGTTGGTTTTGACGCGGCTCATTTATGTTTTTGAGGCCTACATGGCAGTTTCGGTAACCAAATGTGTAGCCTCAATAATAAAGGCTTTACTTACATGTACATATTTGTTGTCTAACAGCTAACTTTGATTATGTTATGTATGTCAGGGCCTTTTTACCTTCTATAACAGGGGCCGGTATAGGGCTGCTTCCCCAAAGAAAATTTCTTTAAAATCATGCAGTTTTCCCCAAAAATTGAATTAACATCAAGTTTTTTCTTCCCCTTTTGCAAATATACCTTGTATTTTTTCCCCAAAATTAAGGGCTGGGCTGCTTCCCCAAACTGTGAAAAAAAGCCCTGTATGTGCTGTCAGGCCCACAAGGAATTTCAGAGCCTAAATGTGTAATATAAGCCACATTTAATAAAGTTGGTACTTATTTACTCACAAGAATGTATCACACTTAGTCTGTTCTCACTTTGTGAAATCCTGGCCTGGCAAAATCCAGGTCCTGGCCTAGCAAAATCCAGATCTTAGACTAGCAAAATTCAGATCCAGGCCTAGCAAAATCCAGATCCAGGCCTAGCAACATCCAGAACCAGGCCTAGCAACATCCAGATAAAGGCATAGCAAAATCCAGATCCAGGCCTAGCAACATCCAGATCAAGGCCTGCAAAATCCAGATCCTGGCCTAGAAAAATCCAGATACAGGCCTAAGTAAAATCAAGATGCTCTCATTTATTTCATGTTAGAGATTTTGATTAGTCATTAAAAGATTTAAATGACAAGATGAACAATCCTTAACAACATCACTAAATATCTAGTGACATGAACTTGTCCCAATGACCAGAAGAAATGACTAGCTCCCAGTGCATACCAGGATAAGAGCAGCATTTTTTATTTTTTGATACAAATTTTGTATATATAGAAGGAAAAGAATATGGAATTCTCCTGTTAATAATATATTGTATGAAAAGTATTATTTTTCTATCTGTTGCTTGCTTACACCAAAATAATAAACTTACTTTAACAAATATTTTTTCCCGCCAATCTGTCACTCCAACTTTGTCATGTACGGTACGGCACGGGAGCAAACGGAATTTAATCCTTAACCCACGTTCAACGTACTTCCGGCTTCTTGCCAACATGATGGAAGACAAAGTGTTACTGTTTATTTCTAAATTAGTATCGTTTTGATGTGTTGTATTGACAGCAGCATTCTTTTATTTTGACAAATTAATTTGATGCGACATAAGTTGGTGTAGTTTAGATGACTAAGCATAAAATACGCGGTTAAAAGACATGTAAACAAAGTTGACCTACATCTCAAAATGACAGCCAAGTCAAATGCTCAGGACAGGAAAGACTTTGACAAATTTACCAAATTTTTTGTGTACAAAAGTATTCAAATAATTGTTCAGTCCAGACTTGGAGAGAAGATTAAAACAAAATCAAAGCCATTTTCTTCTGGTGCCGATTGGGTAAGCAAGTTAGGATCAAGTTGCAAGCTGTTTTTAAATCTAAACATGTGTAATCACAATTAACATGTAGATTCTTTTAAAATTTTACATTATTGTGAATATGTCAATATTGCATCAGTTTATCAAATCATTTTTTGTTTTACTGAAAGTATTTTAAAGTGAATGAACAATAGAGTTGTAAAGTGATGTTGGCCAGCAAAGTAGACCGTATTTTGATAGCCACAGAGCTCTGTGAAATTTAACCCTGTCCCATGGTAAAAGCATAGCAATAATAAGAATAAATTTGCCAAAATACAGTACTGTACAGTCATGTTATTATTAAAATAATTACATTTACATCAATATAATATTAAGTAAACAAGAAAAGCAACATGATTACTTGGTACTGATACAAATAGTTATTTTTTTAAACAATTTTATAAGATCTTACCTCTCATTACAAGGATTATTTATAAATTCCCCTCATTCTGAGAACAGTCACAGCACAGTCATCATTATGTTGTATATTATAAATGTTGTAAACTAGTCTGTTTATAGGAAAATAAAATGATTTAGGAACCAATTTAGCAAATTGCATAATTTGTTGCTGATTCTGATAATCCAAATATTCAATTTGTTACTTTAAATAGCGCCTCCTGTATTACAATGTTTGGCGACAAAAATATTTTACTGCTAGTTCAGGGACATACCAGTAGATAGATCTTAAAATATAATGTACCTGCTAGTATAGGAGACATATCAAGTCTGAAGAATTCATGCAATGTTTATAAAATTCGGCAGACTATTAAATGAGAAGTTTTAAATACCATTATTTAGAAAGTAAAAAAAAGGAAGTACATATTGTAATTTGTATTTAGAGGGCAATTAAAATGTGTATTAATGTTTTATGATTTCAGTTTAACATAGCAATAACAGACAATAATGAAGTTCACACAGAAGCCAAAAAAGTTGTGTCAAATCAGACATCAACACTTGCACAGAATGTCTGTGTGGAGATCTCACTTAGGACTGCCGATGGTGATACGATGGTGCTTGAACTTTGGTACATAAGTCTTGATATAAATCTGTGTGATATAAGTGCTAAAATGTCACAGACAGGTTATTTGGTTGAGCTTAGCATTAAAATCATTATTAAATGTTTTTAAACACCTGCTTACAAACGTTCTCGAAGGCAGACAAGCAGTGACTACATAATTTGCTATAGAATATATCTTGGCGAACCACAGTTTTATATTCTTGGTGAGAACCATCAAAAATCAAAAGTAGGGTCTGTGCCAACTCCATATGGGACCATAGGAATTCATTTAGGCTACAGAACAAAGTTGTTGATATCTCCACAGAACACTACAAAAGAGGTGCCATTTGAGGTGAAGGATGATCATTTTAAACAAGATAGTAGTCCTGTAAGACCAACAACACCAAAACCTTGTGTATCTGGTTACAGAAGGTAGCATAATTTTCATAAAACCTTCTGTTAATAATGAAAATATATTTTTCAAATCAAATTACATACATATAAACTATAATTTAAAAATCATTACAATACAATATCTTTACTTGCAATGTATACTAATAAGGCAAATTTAAATAAATAGCAATACAGTTTCCTATTTGTAGAAAATGTAGTTGAACATTTTTTAAAAAAAAAACTTATTTTTTTTAAGATATGCAAAATAAATTGATAAGCCATACATAGTCATATATCCCCCAAGTGAAAGGGATTTTACCCTTCTTTATGTGATTTTATTGTGTCGCCTTGAAAAGGTGACATATAGGGGTTACTTTTGTCGGCGGTGTGGCGGCGACGTCTGTGTCGTTGTCGGCGTCGGCGTCCCCTAAAGCTTGTCCGGAGCATAACTCAGTCACTATAAGTCTGATTGACTTCAAACTTGCTATGCATGCTTCTTTCAATAACCCCAAGTGCAGTGCACAAGGACCGGTACTCTGCAGTTCTTATTTTTTGAGTTATTGCCCTTTGTTAATTTTCATACTTTAATTTTGTCCGGGCCATTTCTCTTCAACTAAAAAAGCTATGGACTTGAAACTTCATAGGATGATAGATCTCATTAAGAAGAAGTGCAGAGCACAAGAATCGGTACTCTGCACTTCCTAATTTTTGAGTTATTGCCCTTTGTTAATTTTCATACTTTATTTTTTGTCCGGGCCATTTCTCCTAATGTATAAAAGCCATGGACTTGAAACTTCATAGGATGATAGGTCTCATTAAGAAGAAGTGCAGTGCACAAGAACATGTACTCTGCATTTCTTATTTTTTGAGTTATTGCCCTTTGTTTTATTTTCATACTTTAATTTTGTCCGGGCCATTTCTCCTTAAGTATAAAAGCTATGGACTTGAAACTTCATAGGATGATAGATCTCATTAAGAAGAAGTGCAGTGCACAAGAATCGGTACTCTGCATTTCTTAATTTTTGAGTTATGACCCTTTGTTAATTTTCATACTTAATTTTTGTCCAGGCCATTTTTCCGAAAGTATAAAAGTTATGGACTTGAAACTTCATAGGATGATAGATCTCATTAAGAAAAAGTGCAGTGCATAAGAACTGATACTCTGCATAAAAATAAGAAATGCAGCATTTCTTATTTTTTGAGTTATTGCCCTTTGTTGATTTTCTTACTTTATTTTTGTCCTGGTCATTTCTCCTCAAGTATGAAAGCTATGGACTTGAAACATTATAGAATGATAGATCTTATTGATAAGAAGTGCAGTGCACAGATATGCTGCTCTGCACTTATTATTTTTTTAGTTATTGCCCTTTGTTATTTTTCATATTTCATTTTTGTCCTGGCCATTTCTCCTAAACTACATTGTTCACAAGGCGACACATCCGACTCGCGGAGTTCTAGTCTTTCTTTATTTATCTTTACTGCATTGATTTGATAATTGTTTATGTATTTCAGGCAAAGCACTTGTGATTCTGACTCTACAGGTCAGAGTGAGGAGTCATGTACAACAACATTTTCTACCAGTCCCTGTGGTGAGCCCCTAAGAACTAAAGGAAGTCCCGCCTCTCATCATCAGTCGCAGCCAATAAAGATCAACATACAGGGCAGTTCTCCTGTGACTGACAAGTTCCCTGATTTAAGGCCACAGAGGTACATACTTTATAAGAATTAAAAACACACAGGGTTCTCATTGACGCTTATTTTTTATTGATAAAAATTCATTATTATGATAAGAATTTATCAATTCTTTATGGATATAAACTAGCTTAAGCTGCATATTTCATAGCTGAGGAATGTTTTTCTTAGATTCACTAAATTTGATCAGATATCCTTAGAAATGGGAAGTTTCAATGATGATGCATATTTCTAAGACAATTTTCTTTACAAGCTACCAGGTAAATGATTTATGGCTATAAATTGCAAACAAGATAATTTCCATGTTATAAGATAAAGAAATTGGTATTGACATTCTTGATATCATACATTTGTATCTGAAAATAACACTAAATAAGCTGTGATGTTGTGTTATTCATTTTGCTAAGTGGTTAAGGTTTTTCACTTCAAATAACTTGGCTCTCACAACTGTTAGCTTCAATACTGCCAGAGACTTTGGTTTCTTTCATGTGAGGAAGATTACCAGCTCCGTGGTTCTACTCTAGTGCCGGCATATGCTGAGGGGCACCTGAGATCTTCCCTCCACTACTAAAGCTGGAAGGTTGTCATATGACCTCTACTGTGTCTGTGCCTGACTTAAAGCCAACCCCAACTTCTGAGTTCTCCCATGTTATTTATTTAAAATCAGACAAAAGACTTGTTATTAATAAGAACCTTGCAAGTTTCAATTCACACTATTATATATGTGAATAAACTGAAGTCCCAAATGAGTTAGTTAATCCTAAAAAAAATATATACATGTATAAAGTATTTACAATTTTATTGTAAACAAAACAAATTGTAGTGACCCATGAAAGGAGATGTCAAGGTCAAAATGTTAAAAGATTAAATATTGAGGTGATTGATAAAGCTAAGTTCATCAGACTGACATTTTATCAACCACAATCAAATTATATTACATAGATGCATTGTTTATTAATTTTCTACTTTCTTTTTACATTTCTGATAATCATCAAAATATTTCTTTAATTGTATACAAATGTATGTATATCAATTACAGTGCTCCAGAAAAACCTTTCACATACCAAGATTGTCATAGAGTTGGAGCATTTGTTCAACATTTTACAGACAATAAACACAACAGCGATGATGATGTGCCATTCCTATCTCTCTTACAGCAGGTCAAACTTGATAGGTATGCTTACACTGACCACTTTAAATGTCTTAAATAAACTTTTCAATCCTTTTATCTAAACAAAAACAACCAATTTCAGGGGTGTCAGTGGCAGAATGGTTAAGGTGGCGCGATAGCTCAATTGGTTAGACCACTGACTGTCACTCCTGAGGTTCCGGGTTCAATCCTGGGTAACACCCTTGGGATTTTTCAGAGACACTTTCAGTGTTTCCCACCTACCTAGAGGTTTACTGGTATGAAACCCAGGTAATCCTCACATGTATCAGTGCTATACACTGGGCATGTAAAAGAACCAAGGGATCTATTCAATAAGAGCTAGGGACTGGTTCCCGGACTCCCTTGTATCTCATAGCTGTCTCTAGAGTCTGCTGAGGTAAGGACCCTACTGGAAATAAGTGCTTGCACTTTCGGAGGTTATCCTTGACCACCCGGTCTAAAGAAATCAATCAATCAATCAATGGTCATTGACTTCAAACCACTTGCCCTTCACGGCTGTGGCTTCGTTTCCTGATAGGGACTTTGGATTCAATCATGTGAGGAAGCTATCCGGCTAGCTGAAGGAACGTTGGTGGTTCTACTCAGGTGCCTGTCCATGCCTGAAATAATGCACAGAAGGGCACCTTGGGGGTGTTCCTCCACATTTTAAGCTGCAACATTGCCATATGACCTATACTGTGTTTGTGCGATATAAAACCCAATCAAACAAACAAAACCAGTTTTAGAGAATATTTTAAAATAAGCACCGTGCAGAATATGATCAGATTGCACAGAATGTGCACTGGTCACATTCATGATGATTGGAAGATTCAGTTGTCGCTAGCCTGCTAAAGGTTAATCATTTACAGAATTTTACCATGGAATGCTTGGAAATAATTGCTTTTCTATGCCCTTGTACATGTACTCAGAGCTTTACTTTTGTAGGAAGACATATATGTATATGTATTTTATTCCTCAAAGTATTGATTTATAAACTGCTTTAAGGTGGTGTACAATTAAAACCACAAACTTTTACTGCTGAAGTTTCTTATATCAAGGAATCTGCATTGTTGCACTAAGTCATGTATTCAGTGGAACATCCGAGGTCTAGTGGATATAGTTGCTTAATAAGGCTTGCTTGTTTAAACGCTTGACATAGGTTTGGATTTAAATCTTGAAAGAATTGTGATTTCTAATCTATTGTTATAATGAAGCTATCCAACTAGTGTATGGAAGGTTGGTGGTTCTATTCTGGTATCAGCTTGTGCACAAGATAAAAGAAAATTAAACACAAAAAATTAAATTACAGGCAAGACAAGGACAAGACAGATGGTACAAAGTTAGAGGCATCAAAAGGCACGTCCAGCTCGAAAACTGAAAGTTCACGGGAAACAAGTGAATCTGCACTAAGCGAGTCAAAAACAAGTACCAGTAGCCAGGTGTCAGCACCAGATGACTTTGTTATGGTGGAGTTGGTAAGTTATCTAAAGTTTCTCAGACAATTTTACTTTCTGAAAAAAATAATGATTAGGGAGAGGAAACTTTCTTTGTCACACTTGATGACATATTACTTGTAAATGTACAAATATACAAAATAAAAGTGTGCTTCGTCAATTAATAATATCTTGCTTTTTTAGAAGATTTCTTTTCTCAAATAAGATCTGATGGATTGTTCATCACTCAACAGTCTTCCTTTTAAATGAAAATAAAGTCCATACATTCTTTGATATAAATAGATGTTACAAAAAGATATTGCATTCTTATTCTTTAGAAAACACCATTTGCTGGAGCAGATGCCAATAGTGATTTAGGACGGTTTTATCGTGAATGTCAGAGTGCACCGGCATTGACAAACTGTGACGAGGAGCAGTCAGTACCGGAAGCTTTGGAGCAGTTAACTAACCAGCTAGAATCATTTGAGACTCATATGAAAGACTTTGATAACTTTGTGTCAGAACTGAATATTGACAATGAATCTATGGGTTTTGAAGCTAAAGCTGTTTTTGAAACGTGAAACTGTGAAAGATATGGGTTTACTGGTTTGTAATACAGAGTTGCTTTGTCTTACATTTCATTTTTGTAGTGTTATTTTTATGTCTTTTGCTGGGAGAGAAAGGAATAAGTAAAATAACAGCATAAAATACAGTATTTTTTATAATTAAACACTTTGGGTACCAGGTATATACGGTTGTGTTTTTAACCAGTATGATAAAATCTTTAGTGGTTATATATTTATAAGTACATTTCAAAATTCCATTACACAAAATTTGCTTCTAAGAAATAATATAGCACCTGTACATGTACTTCAAAATCTTTGGTCCATTTCCACATTAAGATTATTTATAATACATGCAATCAATAGAAAAGTTTATGTAAGGAAAGACAGCTCTGTAAGGTTGTGTTTTATTTAGTCCACATGGATGAATATGTGCTGCATTTGAAAGGGATTGAACACATTTTGGTGCTCTGCACTTCTGTATTAAAAAAATTGATTCCTTTTTTTGTTCCTTTAGAGCTGTAATGTTGAAGTATTTTAATATAAAAAAGGGAACTCATGACATATGTAATAAAGTTTTTGACCCATAACTTACATTAGTTAACAATTGTATTTTTCATTCTGTTTTGTATAAAGAAAAAAGCTTTTTCTCATATCCAGTATTTCTGTTCATTATGTTTGATGTGATAAAGAAAAGTTTATTATGGGATCTTTTTTATTTTGGTTTTGAATCCAAAAATGACTTTTTTGTAGTTGAAATGTTGTGTTTTACTCTTTCCTTATCGAAGCATAGTTTTAAAATACAATGTACATAAAATTGCAGTACGTTATTAATTTAATTTTGCAAACTTCATGTTGTCAGATTTATTATTTCATGAACCAATATAATGCAAATCTGATAAAAACAAACACATTCTGTAGAAATCCTCAGTTGATTATTCAGTCAGATTATAGATTATTATTATCGTACTTTCATGTGTTATGGGTGTTTTATATTTCCTCAATAAAAAACAAGTCTCACCTTTGAAACATTTTAAGTAAAATAAAACGGCAAATGTTTTATGATAAAGATCGCTGGCTCGATCTCTCTTAAACATTTTATATACGAGTTAGTTGATTTATGTGGATAAGTTCACGGTGTCTTGGCAGAATCAATTTACAGTCCACTCCACTTATAACGAACTCGCTTATAACAAATTATCGTAAATAGCGAACTAAATCTGATATCCCCAGCCGATTCCTTCTTTATTTTATATTAAATAACATCGCTTAATACGTACTCGCTTATAACGAATTTTCGGCTATAGCGAACCATTTTTCAGGTCCCAAACGGCGAAAAACATGTAAATTTTCTCGGTTAAAACATACTGTTATAATTGAAATATCGGGATGCTGTCGATTATGATCAGTACATGCATACCGCTATCCGATAATTATTCAATCGGGTGTAAGCAAGGTTAAGAATAAAGATTTTGTTAAAATGTTCTTACAACATAATTTCCTACTTGTTACAGAAAATTTGTATTTCGCACCATCAGTTGATAAATTGCTGTAAATACCCGATAATAACCAAAATTACAGATCTTTTGTTTGCAATATTAAACAAACAACAACAAACAAATAGTAAAATAATACAAATGGTAAGCACTTTATAGCCAAGTACTACATGTCTAAATACATGCACCATGTTCATAATACATTGTTTAATTAAATGACCCGCATTAAATTACCGCTGCCTAAAATACAGATTAAACCGGTAACCAGCGACAGGTATGCCTTTTTCACGGCAAATTCGCCCACCTAAACAAGTCAGCAAGTTGTTGCTACTTCGCTTATAGCGAACTTTGGATATAGCGAACGATATTTAAATGTCCCATTGAGTTCGTTATAAGCGGAGTTGACTGTATTCTGTTTTATGAAATATACAGTTAATGTACAGTTTTGTCTGTTTTCGTTTGAAGCTGTGATAAAAAGAGGAAGTACTACACCATCATGAAGAATTTATTCGACATGAAAAAATAGTAAGGTTTCATTTAGATGTTGCTTGGTTATGTCTTCCGTATGAAAATGTTGAACTGAATAAAGCTCTTTAAGTAGAAATGTGCATGTTAGAATATAATTATTTGTAAGATAAGTGCAGAAGAAATTATGAATGAGTTGTACACATGTATTAAATGAACTGCTAGATTTTCTCTGTGTGACCAGATTCTGTTTCTTCATTTACACTTTTTTTTTGTTAAAGTAAAATATGTTTTATGTGTGAAAATTAGGGATGTAGGTTCAAAGAATTTCAGTTAAAGAGGGGGCTAACGTCAAGATTAGTGGTTTTGTTGAATACATTTTATGCTATAACATGACCAATTTCAAAATTCTGAAGGTTAAGGGTTGCCATGTGGCACTTTGGTTATTATAATTCATAGTAAAAATTTAAATAAGATATAATAAATAATCAAGAATAGCAAAACATCTGTCTAAATTTTTCTTTGATAGAATAAGTTAAACAGAATTTGCGCATTATAAAACTAACTGTTTTCGTACAAGTGATTTTTCATTTATCAGATTTTTTATGACACTATATAATGATTTATTATAATGCTACCATATTTGTAAATTAATGTTTTTTTTATAAAGAACCAGTCCTTGAGGTTGTGAAATTAATGCAAGCTTATGAACAGATAATATCAAACCAAGTCTGCAATTATCAAATAATTTTGTTTCACTGAATTTGAGTGATCTCCCTTATTCCATATTGTTATACATAAGACTTGAAATGTAATAAATATCTTAGTTCGGAGTTGACAAAGTTATTCATACTCCTTTAGTATTAGTTATTTGTGAAATTTAATTTAATATATATCTTATTCATTTTTAGCTCGACTATTCGATAAGAATAAGTAGAGCTATTGCAGTCACCCGAGCGTCGGCGTCGGCGTAACCACTTATGTTAAAGTTTTTGTAATAGTTCAAATATTTTCAAAGTCCATAGACATATGGCTTTGAAACTTTGCACACTTGTTCACCATCATGACCCCAACTTGTAGACAAGAGGAGGTAACTCTATCAAGCATTTTGACAGAATTATGCCCCTTTTTCGACTTAGAATTTACGTTAAAGTTTTTGTAATAGTTCAAATATTTTCAAAGTCCATTGACATATAGCTTTGAAACTTTGCACACTTGTTCACCATCATGACCCCAACCTGTAGACAAGAGGAGGTAACTCTATCAAGCATTTTGACAGAATTATGCCCCTTTTTCGACTTAGAATTTACGTTAAAGTTTTTGTAATAGTTCAAATATTTTCAAAGTCCATTGACATATGGCTTTGAAACTTTGCACACTTGTTCACCATCATGACCCCAACTTGTAGACAGGAGGAGGTAACTCTATCAAGCATTTTGACAGAATTATGCTCCTTTTTCGACTTAGAATTTACGTTAAAGTTTTTGTAATAGTTCAAATATTTTCAAAGTCCATTGACATATGGCTTTGAAACTTTGCACACTTGTTCACCATCATGACCCCAACTTGTAGACAAGAGGAGGTAACTCTATCAAGCATTTTGACAGAATTATGCTCCTTTTTCGACTTAGAATTTACGTTAAAGTTTTTGTAATAGTTCAAATATTTTCAAAGTCCATTGACATATGGCTTTGAAACTTTGCACACTTGTTCAACATCATGACCCCAACCTGTAGACAGGAGGAGGTAACTCTATCAAGCATTTTGACAGAATTATGCCCCTTTTTCGACTTAGAATTTACGTTAAAGTTTTTGTAATAGTTCAAATATTTTCAAAGTCCATTGACATATGGCTTTGAAACTTTGCACACTTGTTCACCATCATGACCCCAACCTGTAGACAGGAGGAGGTAACTCTATCAAGCATTTTTTTTACTATCAAGCACTAAGAATAGTCGAGCGTTGCTGTCCTACCGACAGCTCTTGTTATAATTATTACATTGTTTTGTTAACCTCTGATCATTATGTATTAGTTACGAGGGTTGTCCAAAAAATTCATGCACTGCATTTATTGTTGTGAGAGTTATTGATAGAAAAATATGAATTATATATCACTTGAAGGGAAAATCCATCTCAAATAAAAAAACAAAAGAAAAAGCCGAGTAACCGGCGTGTCGTGATAAAGAATGGTCATTAAGTTACCTTAGTGTCCAACTTTATTTGTCATCCAATGAAAACGCTGTACTTCTTCAAAATTTTGTGCGTTAATTTTCATAGAAGTACAAAAGTCGATACTATATCGAATTACGTCCATAGTCGACTTCTTTTTTTCATAGTACTTCATAAAACCGCATAGTGACGTAATAAAGTGAATGATAATGAGGCCAAATAAAGTTTGACACTAAATATGTTAGTATTCATCCGTGCTGTTCTACAGAAATTAGAAACATTCTCCTGTCGCTATCGCTCCCGTCGAAGTTTCTAATTTCTGTAGAACAGCACGGATGAACACTAACATATACTTAGTAAAGTAATACCGGCGCACGAAAAAGAATTGGGTTAGTTCATTACTGTAATTGTATTAATTGTTTGTTGCTTGTAAAGTGGCATTTGCTTTTTATGTTATTATTTGTTTACTGTAAATAGAGGAATGATTGATGCAAAGAAATTTGTAGTTTTTATTGTTCTTATGCAACGTCCATGTAACATATTCCACCAATGCACGAATATATTGGACATCCCAACCGGCATTACAGCCGGACGTCTGCCTGACCGGTTGTCATCGGCTACCAACTCTCGTCCCTCTACAGAGCGTTTGTGCAATTTTAAACCAGAATTTAAAAACCAGCCTTTGTGACACTGAACTTGTCCCGCGTGCCCTTTTAATTTTATACCTTCAAGTGATATATAATTCATGTTTTCTATCGATAACTCTCACGACAATAACTGCAGTGCACAAATTTTTTGGACAACCCTCGTACAAACATATCTGAAAAGGTTATTGCAGTGGTTCATTTTTTTCCATCACCTGAAATAATACTTAAGTAAATTAATGTTATTTTGTCATGAAGTTTTGATCACCGTTAATTACTTCATCATTTTTAAACTAGATTTTCTTCTTAATCTATGTTAATTATGACTAAGACTTAGTTAACATATTCTTTTGTGTTCATTTACTTAATTCTGGGTTGCTTTTAAAGTGATAGATTTATCAAGCTATTTTGATCAAGAACTTTCCTTTATTTCACATATTTTTTTCATTGGTTTATCTAAATTATTCCATTTTAGAAACTTGATTTTCATAAATTCATGCTTTGTTTATCCAGAATTTGTCAACAAATTTCTTTAACAACCCATCACTTCATATACACTTTGTTTTTTCCTGTACTGTCTATAAAGACAAGAGTTTAAAATATGTTGAAAGATAATCTTTGTAAAAGTAAGCCTTGCATATATCTTATAGTCAGCTACATTCATTTACTTCGCATGATTCCTGTGAGCTGTTGTATGTGATAAAATCTCATGTTTATTCTCGTAAATAAATTACATGAAACTTGCATAAAAGTCTTGTGGTATGTGTTATTCCTTTGTGTTAAATTTACAAAATGTCGAGTGACAAGTGACTTTGAAGTTTTTGACAATTGTGACTGTTTAACAGTACAAAAAGTTCAGCACCCCTGCCGTTTTAACTTGTTATTCTCGACTTTTCGCTTAGCGGGGTCGCGGGGCGAAAACACGAATGGCACAAATCAGCCACCATACATAAAGCTGAACATTTACATGTCACATAATTTTCTATAGTGAGTTGATCTTAACACAGTGAAGAACATTTGGCGACAAACCAGCTTTTGTTAGAATTCTTTAATTTTGCTTGACTTTGCAATAATTTGCTTAAATAAGAATAAAAATGATAATAATACTCTTTATTTAACAAGTATAGCTTATTAAGACAATACATCAAAGCGTCAAAGAAAACATATATAATGCAATATTTTATTTTTAACAATTGTAGACTTGAAAAATTTCTTATTTGTTCTCGAACTTCATACAAGCATAATAATAAGTATGTTTCAAATGATTTGTTTTAGGTCGTTTATGCATTGAGTTTTTAATTCTGCGATGATCTTAGTAAATACGTTTTATTCTGAAGTAACAGGATAAGATCTGACATATACTGGTTTTAATTAATTCATTGCTTTAAACACCATAATCC